AGGACGTTTAAACAGGTGAGACGTGAACAACCAGAAGTAATCATAATTATTTTTTAAATGTATTTACTTGTATATAGACTCTTCTTGCACTATTTCTATTTTATTTGTATTGACTTGCACATCTCAAAACATTCTCTTGCACTATGTCCTCCTATATATGTTATTTTATTATATTATTATTTATTATACATGTTGCACTTTTGGAGGAGCCTGTGACCTAAGTTTTTCATTGCCATATCTACAGTGTAGTACTTTTACACTAAACTTTAGCGTGACTGTTTAATGGTAGCACATATTCCTTGCAAATATAATTCATCCAGTTTCATTAACAAAACATTGGTTTAACTCTTACCCATGAATCTTTGTGCAATCTCGTAAGCTAGCTAAGATATGATCACATGTGGCACTGATTGACAGACTTACATTGTTTAACATCACTCCAAGTTTGTTCATTTGACCATGTTTCGTTCTTGTTGACTCATGTTATGTTGAGATTGTTATCAGGTTTATTTGATATGTTTCATGTTGAGTGTATAGTCATGTTTACATTAAGTTAAGTTTAGTTATGTCTTGTTGTTCATGTGTTAAATTACAGTCACTTGTTTCTCGTTTGTCATCGCACTTCCTGTTTTATTTTGTACCTTTCAATCTAATTTCAGAGCCCTTTACTTCCTGCCACTGTGGCCGTTTCTCAATCTCGAGGATACTGGCTTCCAAGCCAATATTTCAAGGATGCTACGTCACCGAGTGCCGCAAAGGCCTGTTCCAATCTCCAGCATACTTGGAATTCCACCGAGGCCACGTCCTTGGTTTGGGGGAAATTTCGAGGCTGCACATGGGTAGACTTCGCGTCCTTAAAATCCCCACAATGCTTTGCGCACGGACCAATTTCAAAAACCCTTGCGGAGAATGGCTGAACCGACGCAGCACACATTTAAATGTAAGTATATAGTGGCGTAGAACATGGCCGTTTCTCAATCGCGAGGATGCTTGCTTGGTAGCACATGTCTTCCGAGTCACTTCCTTCAGAGGCAAGAATCCTTCCTGGCATTCGGAAAACGAAGAGTGGAACAGACTAACAAGTGTGCAGATGTGCGTCATATGAGAGGCCCCGCCTTACATTTTCCGCCAGAAATTTGGGGAAATTGGTCCGTGCGCAAAGCATTGTGGGGATTTGAAGGACGCGAAGTCTACCCATGTGCAGCCTCGAAATTACCCCAAACCAAGGACGCGGCCTCGGTGGAATTCCAAGTATGCTGGAGATTGGAACAGTCCTTCGGCGGCACTCGATGACGTAGTATCCTTGAAATATTGGCTTGGAAGCCAGTTTCCTCGCGATTGAGAAACGGCCCATGTGTTGGTAAATATGTGACTTTGTTACATTTGTTTGTTATCACCAAAAATGTGTTCTGTGAAAGTAAAGCAAGTTCATAATTAGATAGACATCGTGAGGTATTTATTTTCGGTACAGTTTATGTTGAAACCGTTAGAGAGAGTGGCACACTTGTTAGCCTGTTCCATTCTTCTTAGTTTTCCGAAGCCGTGGCTTGGAAGCATACCGGCTTCGTTTCTGAAGGAAGTGACTTGGAAGTACGCGACTACCAAGCCAGCATCCTCGCGATTGAGAAATGGCCTGTGATTGTTTGCCCCTCTCTCACCTGTGTCTCGTTAACTCTTCTCATATAGTCCTGTCTCCCTTTGTCCTGTGCCAGTTTGTTTCATGCCATGTCAACATAGCCACCATTTCCCAAGCCGATAACTGTATCTTGTTTGTACTTAGAGCCACATTTATTTAGTATTTTTTCTGCTATTGCCACGTTTTTTTCCTTTTTTTTGTTGTACTGTGAATCTTAAATTAAGTAAAGACTCTTGGACTGTAGTGTAGAGTTGTTGCATTTGAGTCACAGTTTTGAATCCAATCACTTTTATCGTCAGACATGCACACAGCAAACACACAGTCAAACTCTGGATAAAACCAATGAAGCATGAGGCAGTGATCCATTCAGGAACTTGACCCAGCAACCCTAACTTAAGGTAAGTATCTGAACAAACATCCTTTTTAAACCCAAATGTTTTCCTCAACCTAATTAAGTAGTTTAGTTTGAATTCACAAGGTTAGAATCCGAGCATTGTGCATGTGACCGTGCACCTCACTTTACTCCAAGGTCTGGTCATTGTCTCTGTTCACAACATGCAGACAATGGAGAGGCAACATTATTAAACAGACTGGCATTTACGCTCTAAAATGTTATTTAAATGTGTGTGGGTTTATATGGCATGGTTCATACAGATCACAACCAATTACAACATTCATGGCTTTTAAATGGTATGTTCTTGAGGAAGAAATGCTATTAATAACACAGGTGTCAAACTGTATGGCCCATAAAGCAGATACCTCACAGGCTGCAGTACGTTATTTTTTATACGGCAGTCAGTTTTTATGTGTCATGGATTATTAGTGTTAAAGACCAATACATGTTAACAACTATGTAAGTGAATTTTCAACAATTGAAAGTGGAGAAATGTAATGATACAGATTCATACAAAGCAGTGAACTGAATGATGGGATGAGTTTGAATATGATGTAACACCTACAGTATGGGAATGCAGCTGTAATTGAACAGAGGATTTTGAGATAAATAAATCTCAACCACTGGAGGATGTTCACCAAGACCTATTTAGATCAGAAGTTATGAAGAGATATAAAAATGGCTGGATTAACCTGCTTCGGGGCCTTGGGGCAAAATAAGGAATGCAAAACTGTGCTTTATTGGCTAATTTCTCCCAATTTTTAAAGGTGAAATCAGCTCAAACCAGATTACCACATTACACCTGGAGTTTTGTAGATCTGGTGCCCTTGTTCAGTTGCCCTTCGTCCGCCTGCTAATCCAGCCTTGGCGTTAGGCATATTAGATATAATTAAAATGATATTGTCTTACAGTAGAGCGCTCGTAGTGACCTTGTATGTCTTATCGGCTTATGGTAATTTGACTGTAGGTCTATCGCATGTGTATAGTGTATATTATAGCTTCTTTGCTAGCATAGGCCTGCTTTTGTAATGGACCTGGCAGTGATTAATTAAATCAGCAGCATTAACCCCTCATCATCCCTGATTAATGATATCAAACCCAGCTTGCCTTTTCAAAATAAAACCCCGCTCATTCTCTAGACACGATGGGGAACTGATACCTGCACATTACTGCTTTTCATGGTTTCATTATTGGTGTTCACCACAACAGGCGAGCGGTCCTTTGTGTTAATAAATGCCATCATCTCTGTATGCAAAGGTGAGGGGGGTTCAGGCTCTGTGTTGGACCCAGTGATGAAATCAAAGGGATTGTGTTCCTGACGACACTGACTGCAATACATAGGCTATCAGCTCTTATGCTCCATTTGAATATTTCAGAGAGGGATCTTGCCTAGAAATAAAACACACATCAAATACAACATTGAATATAGTATTTGTAATTTTGTATAATATTTGACTGTACTCAGTGTAGATATTGTCTTTGTTTTTTTCTACGTATCTTCTTTCTGTGTCTTTGAATGCACCATACTGTGTACCAAAGGAAATTCCTTGTATGTGTAAACATCTGATCATACTGTTGCGTTGCCACATTCATGTTGCTGACAAATCCACTGACACGTGAACGCAGCTACTGTTGAAACAATGCTGCGTTTTGTCACCTTGTTGGCATTTCCCCAGCGTGTTTATTGAGATTTCTACTTGTTGACAGAGAAGGATATTTTGACACAAGCGCTGTTTGTCTTTACACATTCCCTCTGAATACTCGGACATGCGTCCTCCTCCTCCCTCCTCCTGCCTCCCTCTCTGCATCTGACAGTGTCCCTCCCTCTTTCTCTCTCCTCCTCCTTCTCCTCTCATTAGGGCTTTTCACCGGCAAAACACCGACACACTCCCTCTCCCTGTAACCTGGCAATAAACACGGATCGGCGGCAGCAGCAGGATTGAGCCCCGGTGCGCACCATCCATGGTCCTCCCCTTGATGTGGGTCTGACAGGAGGGTATGTTGAAATATTCGTATTTTCCTCCTCTTGCTGGTTTCCTCCTGGCGTTATTAGCCCAGAATTGGTTGTGTTAAGCGATGTGTTGAATGTCTCTACGAGATATTTTCTGCGTAATTCGTGAATGGTTGTGATTTCCGCTGCAGTGCAAATTCATTTATTGAAGCTGTTCATTTTATAATGCGCACGGACTTTGTCCGCGTGCCTTACGTCCTCTGCTGGGAATGAATAATATTGTGGGAATTAAGCAAGTTGTTGCGTCGTTTTGTGCCCATTGGCCCAGGCAGTGTTGACAGAGAACCTTGCAACCAGGCTGTAAACCCCCCCAGCCACTTCATAGATGATGATGCTCACACACAGCATGGCGGTTTTTTACATTTGCATTTTGGAATATTTGTGTTTTTTTAAAGTTGCTCGTTCAGAGATCAGCTGTTGTGTGCTTGTTTCAGCTTGTCAGGGCAAACTGGATCTGCTGTTGGCTTAGTCAGTCCAACACACCCATCACTAATTATACAACAGACACACACACACACACACACACACACACACACACACACACACACACACACACACACACACCTTGCCCACACAAGTGTTGCTAGGGACTGTCTAACACTTTGTAAATGATGAGTGTGTGTGTAAAATACAGGCTGGGAGATATTTGGCTGCTCTGTGTGTGTTTGCCTGCATGCTTGGGCAGGTCCATGTATGGAAATAGCCTCACCTTTGGCCCTTTGGCTTTAACTGCCTTTTCTGAATTACATACTGTATTTAGGAGACATTTTCAGCTGTGCACGAGTTTGCATCACCTTCCAGATGCTTTTCATAGACTCTGTGTGGGCACCTCCAGCTAGCTTCTCAAACTGCATTCATCTCGTTCGGGCGTAAGGCTTTGGGAAGAACATACGTGCATGTACGTGTCTGTTTTGCATGCTGGCTTCATCAGCCTAATACTTTTCTGGCTTGTTTATGATTGTATGCTCAAAGTTCTCTTGTGGTTGCAGTGATTCACAATTCTAAATGTATTGAATGTTCAATACTGTCATTGATGGCTGATTGCTCATTTCTATCAGGGTATCTAGCTGGGTGATCGACAACGTGCTTCAGTAGCCAAAAGCAATTCTGTCAAGCAGCTAGGCTAAAAACAAGCCTCACTGGAGGCTACATTTTGGCCTTGGTCATGTCTCAGAAACTGACATCCATAGAAACGTTTGGTCTCGACAAAGCTTTATGATTTTACATGTGTGTTCAGCAGATTTGAGGATTTTTGAAGCTGAATTGCAATCACCTTGAGTAAAAAGCTAACGTTTGGCTACAAACAAACCCCATCCCAGTTTGCATGGCTGCGCATCACCACCACTAAGCTAAAGGCAGAGTCATGTCGGCGTAATGACGTTTAGTTATTCATTCAGTTACTTGTTAGCAAACGCCCTTTTTAAGACTCAGCAAAGCTTCAGACATTTTACGAGTGGGGGTGTTTACTGACAAGGATAAAACCATGTTATGCATCTAAGCACAAACGCACTAAAACAAAGTTGACTTCCAGACAAGAGAACCAAAAGTGGTAAAATCATTGGGTTTGAGGACAAATTCCTGCTCCACAAAATAAGATGTTTTCAATAGCAGCTCTCTTGATTGGCCAAACAAAACTATACTCCTTCTTCTGTTGGTTTGTCATGTCCTTCTAATTTACTCGACTCAGATAAAGTGTGTTTCAGTTCCCCTGCAGTGTCATCCTACAGGTGGGCTTTTCACACTCTCCTTGCAGACTGCAAACAGCATCCCTGGCACGACCACCGGACACAATTCTCCCCTTGCTGTGTCAGCCTTGCCTCGCCACCTCTCAGTGTGTCACCTGATGCTTCTCCCCCTCCTCCTCCATTACCTCCTCTCAGCAGCAGTTTCTCCACTGTTTGCTACTTCATGATTCGTAGAGTTCACATCCAATCCAACTCAGAGATTGCCTTTTTTTATTTTGGCCGTGGTGGATATGTGCACAAAGTCTCGCTACTGGTGTGTGCATGTCAGTGTCGAGCTCTGGGATTTCACAGCATAGCATGCTGCCTTCCACCATTTGCAAATCAAATGAGCATGTATGAGGCATCCAGTCACGCCGAAGCCCTCCTGTCCTCTGCGTCTCATTGGACGCCTTCATACCTCGCACTTGAAAGTTAACTCAACCATTTGTTATTGACATCTTGGTTGGAAAAGGGGGGCCGTTAGGCGCTCAGTATCACAGAGGGAGATTGTGTTTTTCTTTTGGTGGCCATCTTACCTGAGTCATTGTTGCAGCTCTTGGAACCTGCAGGGAGTGCTGCATAATTGTGTGGGGTCACCCTGATGTTACTGATGATGCAGCAGCGGTGTGTGTGTGTGTGTGTGTGTGTGTGTGTGTGTGTGTGTGCACACTTTTCACCTCAGCTACCATGACTATAGGAATTTCTACTTTTGGAGGTACCAGTACGACAACTTACAAGTACCACTTCGATCCTTTATCCTTTTGCGTAATACAGTTGTCCATGGAGTGTCTATATCGTAACTCGTCTCTGCGTACCACGACGACCGCCCTATCTGTTGTTAGTGGTCCAGTTTTGTACCGCTCAGTTACATGGTAAGTCGTCCGCAGTTTGTCGTTACTGTCGGCCGTCCTTGTGTGTGTGTGTGTGCTGTGTGTGTGTGTGTGTGCTGTGTGTGTGTGGTCGTGTGTGTGTGTGTGTGTGTGTGTGTGGTTTGTGTGTGTGCTCGTGTGTGTGTGTTGTGGTGTGGGTGTGTGTGTGTGTGTGTGG